TGGGATAAAAAGCATAAGTTTACAAGACCCACAGGATGGATATGCAAAAGAAAATTAAAATCAAAATGTTCCAACGTGGAACGTAAAGTATCAGTGGTTAAATCATTGCACTTTAGCAAAGTGTTGTGTATCGTTTATCACTAAGATGAAAATCTAAGAGTCTTTCGAATGTCGTCATGTCTGGTGCGTTCACCACATAGTTTGGTAATGCATTCCAGTGAGAAAGGATTCTAAGTGAGAAAAAATACTTTCTACAATTCAAACGAGAGTGTTGCGTCATTAGTTTCAGGTGGTTGCCTCGGTTTTGTTTGTATGGAGCTAGAGTCAACAGTGATGTACATGGATGCTCGCTTTCGGTTAGTATCCGGTATGTGAGAGTAAGATCTCCGCGAAGCCGTCGGTATTCTAATGAGAACACACAGAGTACACGAAGACGCATTTCGTAACTTATACCGGATAGTCCACGCGTTGCCTTTGGGGCTCTTCTTTGGGGCTCTTCCAAGAGGCGGTTGTCTCGTTTTAACCATGGACACCAGGCCTGAATTGCATATGCAACACGAGGACGAATGTAGGAGTTTTCAACAATGGTAGTAACCGCCACTCAAAAGTGCCGAGAGCTCGCCTCAAAAGTCTCAAGTTCAAGTTCGCCACACGTGCTGCTTTCGAACATTGGAGCGAATTTCCAAGACTCTCTTGCACGATTATACCTAGGTCGCGTTCACTAGTCACGTGTCGCATGACGTGTTGCCCCAAAAGGTTTGTGTTGACGAAACTTTTGGGCACCGTCAGCAGGTGGCACTTTGCAGCGTTCAGTGGAAGCTGGTTCTTTTCTGCCCATTCGTTAATCCGGGCCAGATCTTCCTGGAGGTAGACGCGGTCGGATGCTGAGCGAATTGCTCTCCATATTTTAGCATAGTCTGCAAATATTTGCATTGGAGATAGAATGTCTGCTGGAAGCTCATTAATGTAGACTAAAAGCAGTAGCGGGCCAAGGACGGATCCTTGTGGAACACCACTGGAGACGTAAAGGCTTTCAGAATAGGTGTCAGCTACTCTTACCTTGATTGCTTTGTCGTGTAAGTAGTCTTCCAACCAAATGAGCAGGGAACCGTTGATACCGTAGGCAGCAAGCTTTTGGAGGAGAAAGAAGTGATTAACCCTGTCGAATGCTTTAGAAAAATCCAGGTATATCACATCTATGGGTACTCCTTCATCAGCCGCCCTGGTCCATAAGTCCCGAGTAAGCTGCAAATTGGTGAGACAAGATCGTCTGCGTCGGAAACCATGTTGGGCATTAGAAATTATCTGTTGAATTTCAAAGTATCGCGTCAATCTATTTGCGATTACCGATCCCATAACTTTCGATAAAAAAGGAAGGAGAGTAATAGGTCGGTAGTTAGCAGGATCTGAGCGCTTACCTCCTTTATATATTGGAGTGATAATTCCATTTTTCCACTCAGATGGGAGTGTATAGGAGTTAGGCAGACCCTAGAAAAAGGTTGCAAGTGGTGCTGCTATGGTGGGAGCAAGGGTTTTTAGTACTTTTGGGCAGATTACGTCGATTTCAGGGGCACTGTACTCCCGGAGAGACTGTAACTTGCTTGCAACGGCTGCTGGAGTAAAGGTGACGCTGGATAAGCCAACGACATTGGTTGGGAGTTGATAGGGCGAAAGCTCCATGATATTTGTAGCTACCGAGCTAAACTGCAAGAGTAGAGCTTTCGCGGCATCCACAGCAGTAGTTGTCAGGCCACTGGCCGTCCTGAGTGGTGGTATTCTGGGTTTTACCTTTTTATGCCATTCACAAATCTGTATGGCAGTTTGGTGTTACTCGTAAATTTCAGCACCATATTCTCCTGCCATTCGTACTTATCAACTCTATTGAGTGACGTGCAGTAGTTTCTGATGACTTTGTAATCCTGCCACATGATATCACATGGACTTAGCAAATGTCGCCTCCAGATTTCATCTCTTCTGTTGATCCATTTACGTGTTCTGCTCCGGATCCACGTATTGGTCCGGCGCGATGCTCGTAATGATACAACCTTCGATGCTGATTGTATGACCCAGTTAATTTTGTTTTTCAATTCATTCCACGCGTCATTCGCTGAGCTGTGCGTCTGTAGGTCCCAGTCAACGGTTGCTGCCAAGCTGCGCAGCTTATAATAGTCCGTAATAGTGCGTTGAGTCTCTCTTTCTTTAGCAACAATATTGGCATAACACACATAACCAAATGTTAGGACTGAATGGTCGCTACGGCGCAGTGGAGGATCGTATGCTACTGACTCAACCATCAACTCTTCATTAGTCAGGATTAAGTCCAGGAGTGATGGCTTGTTTGAACCGCGATGTCTGGTTGGTCGGTGCACATGGTTATACAAAACTGCCATATCCATGAACTCGAGGAGTTTCGATTTAAATGGTGGCCCATTAGGGGACATTGATGCTATTGAAGGAACATTGAAGTCACCCATTATAAGATAGTGAGAGTACTTTTGTGAAACTTCATAGCAGAGGGCGTTTAACAGAATGTTATCGCTGTCTGCTGATGAGTTCGGAGGTCTATAAATAACTGCTAAGAGGCAAGCATCACTCTTCTTCTGTTAACCAACATGTCGATCTGCTAGGTGCAGTCGGCACAATAGTGCGTCGGGAATAACAAGGAAATTTTCGGTAAGAGCCTCACATTTCAAATAATTTCGATAGTAGAGAGCAACACCGCCACTGCGAGATGGACGATCATTTCGAATGACTGACATCTCACTGAGTTCAATCTTTGGATCAAGTATGCCGTTTGAGAGCCAAGTTTTAGTAACTGCTATGAGGTCCAAACTTGTTGTTTCATGTCGATGGCGCAGCTCCGAGAGGTTAGAGTACAACCCCTGAGTGTTAGTGTAGCAGCATTGTATTTGTTGACGCATCAGGAGCTCGGTTCGCTGTGAGTGACCGGCACAAATGGTGCCAGTCTGCTGAAGCTTTTTGAAACGGTTGTTTGCACAGTTGGCTGGTTTGAGATAGGTACAATTGAGACTGGCTCATCTGTATCTGAGGTCTGTACTAATTGAAGGAATGGTCTTAACCGTACTCCTGGTGGCCCAAGTTTCCTGTTGTCATGCCATGCTTGTATTGCCACTGATACCATTTCGGGCGCAGCCAAGGTAACT